TATTAATAATTATTGTTATTATTTTAGTGTTCTATATGCGTATCGAGCTTCAAAAAATCGGGTACAGATTCATTTGTTAAAAATATTGCTTTAAACATATAAAATTGAGTAATTGTAAAGAATAACAAAAAATTTTTTTTTAACAGACACGCATTTGGGCTAAAATTAATGACAGATTTCTTGTTATTTTGTCATAAGAAACAACTGTAAAAATTTTGAGAAAAATCGGCGTCTGACATTTCTTAAGGTTTACTTGTCAGTCTGCTGTAACATCTTGTTGCGAACACATCTATGATAAAAGTTATGTCACAATTTTAAAAAATCGTACACCTAAGTAAATATTTTTATTCTTAAAGTTTTTGTTTTACAATTGTATATGATTATCTGAGATATTTGATTTCTACTTAGATAATAAGTCTAGTTCTTACTTAATAAAGTCCAACTTTTTTTTTTGTTTGTGTGTCTTTGTTTGGACTAATTCAGTAAAAATTCAGTGCGCTAATTCTTCTCAGATCATCATAGCATTTTTCAGAATTACATAAACCGTTATGTTAAATACTTGTGCTCGTTATCGAGTTACTTTCAAGTTTATTTCTGTCGACAGCTATTCCGTTCAAAACACGCTTATTATCGATACCGACGCGGTCAGAATTCATGACAGTGTTTCTACCTATCAGCTGTTTACTTCGCGTCACACAATGTATACATTCGCAACCTTTCTTTCTTTTCTCGCGAAGCGAAGGTTACCCCTCGGTACCTGTGTATGTCTATCGCTTAACGACGATAATAGTTGAATTCGAATGAAGCTCAGCAGCACATCTCATTGTACATCGTTCTAAGTCTCTACTCTTTTCAACACCTTCTGACTCTTCGTGTATGTTCGTGACGTCACCACCTGGTTATTCGGTACTATTTCCTTTCGCAATACTCCCAACAGTCTTTGTTATCGTATATCGTTAATGTTTTTAAAAAATGAACGGACGGGGATAGTAAACTAACCACAGCATGGAACTGTATTACTCATTTAGTAACAATTCTCATAGTATTTACTCAAAATTTTATTCCTTTAAAAAAATTTTCCTCAGTGATAAAAGTTTAATCCCCTTATGTCCAATCTCGAAAACTAGGCCCATTTGACGTGTTTTTACACGAAATGAACAAATTTTGCAAAAAGAACCATTGTTTTGCCCTGTGAAGCGAATATTTGTGTTTAAAATATATTTTTATAAAAGTTTTATTAATATGTAGCCAAAGATATATACATTAATCTTCATTTTAATAGTCTTAGTCAAATTACTCCGGTCCCGGGGCTAGTTGAATCAGATGGAATGCATTAGAAAAATGTACTTTTTCCATATTAGTTATCAGTTTCCCCTTATTATTAAAATATTATTATGTAAATGTATGTAGTAACTGGTGTAGAATTCATTTTTTCGATAAGTCTCTTAATTTCGTCTGTAAAAATTCGAAACTGAAAAATGAGTCTATTAGCCCCGGTTTCTCCTATACTTTCAAAATTTTTTTGCATATCCGGCACTTTCCCGACTAGTCACGATTGCAACATCAACGTTTTTCTCTGTCTCATTCTGTGTCACGAGTACGATAGTTACATTTCGTTACGTTTCGTTCTCTGCCATAACCATAACGTTTCCGAATGTAGCCAGTAGATCTGCTCGCGTTGCTTCAATGATTATTATCAAAAATTTTTTTTAGCATTTTAAATTCAAAATATATTAAAATTGTATTTGAAATACAAAATATATCGAATGACCTTCGTGAAATACAAAATATATTTTATATTGTATTTGAAATACGATATTTGAAATACAATTTGTATTTCAAATACAAGTATTTGAAATGTGCCAGCTTTGATAATAAGTGAAATTCTATTATTATTAGCAAGAATTTACTTGAACTATTTATATAATGAACTGTTATATATTTTTCAGCTGGGTGGAACAGAAGAAATGAAGAAAGAAAAACCATTACATCCATTAGACATTGATGCATATTGGTTGCAAAGAAGATTAAGTAGGATATATGATGATGCCATGGTATCGCAAGCGAGAGCTGCTGAAGTACTAGCTGTCTTGAAAGATGCCGCAGACGATCGTGAATGCGAAAATCAGCTTGTGCTTTTATTAGGTTATGATTGTTTTGATTTCATTAAACAGCTTAAAAAATACAGACATACAGGTAAGAATTGCATATGTTACCAAATTAATATTTATATATTTGTAGTTTTTTATTGATATATTATTTTAAGAGAAAAATATTTAAAAATAAACTACTTATAAAATTTACAGTTGCATACTGTACAATGTTGGCCTCATCGCAGTCCGAATCAGAAAGACAAAAAATCCGAAACAAAATGAATGATGACCCGGTGCTTGCCAAAATCTTGCGGCAATTAGATACAGGTAAAGGTGAAGATGACGCTGATGAGACAATGGAAGCGAGATCCCAGCGCAAAAGACGGGAAGAAAATGAAGATACTGGAGGACCTGGAGGACAGGTTCAAGGTACAAGAAACTTGATAGATTTGGAGGATCTTATATTTGCTCAGGGAAGTCATTTCATGGCCAACAAGCGTTGCCAATTACCTGACGGAAGTTTTCGAAAACAACGGAAAGGGTGAGTATATAATTCGTTTAAAAAACACATTTAAAATGTCAAATGAAAAAAACACAAATGAATATATATATTTCATCTTAACATTTTCACATAATCAGTTCATATAGTTTTTTACCTTCTTAAAACCGGGGAAATCAGATACAATAAACTTAAATCTACAGTTGATTGTCGCAGAGTTCTGTAATTAAAATAAGAATGAACGCTATAAATTATCTTTAAAGTATCGTGTTTGTAATTATTTGTTCGAAATTGAAGAAAATTATCAAATATTATGATCATGAAGAATATTAAAATTTAAAAATTGAAAATTTGTTACATATATTTTTGAAGAAATTAATTAAATATTTTCGTATACACACACACAACACAAAAACACACACTCACACAACAATACAACACAGCACATACAACACAACACACACAATACACACACAACACAACACACAACACACACACACACACACAACACCACACACACAACACAACAAATAAAAAAATGAGATACTATGTTATTATCCTATTTAAAACTCTTTAAAAAGACAACCGACAATTACAATTTTTTTATATTCTGTGCCGAAAATAAATATATAAACAAATTTATTTGATTTTTAGTTTGAAAGTATTATTTAAAACTTTTAAAATAAATCTCACTCTAAAGATAAAAATCTCAAATCTTTTTCAAAACTGGCACATTTTTCACTCTTTAAAGTGAGATTCTACTCCAAAGAATTTAAAAAAGGTAACTTATTAAAATTTATTTAAACTTAAAATAAAAAACACAACACGCACACATACCATCAGCGACTATGAATGTGTGTGCGTGCGTGCGTGCGTGATGACAAAAATAGAATTTCTACAGAAGTCTCTATGAGCATTTCTATACAAAACTGGCCCCTGTTTACTTATCATTATTACCTTTATCTATCTCAGATCGGAACAGCAGAAACGAAAAAAATATCCTATCTATTTAAAGAAAAAAGGCATGTTAAGTCGACAGTACAAAGGATCCCGCATGTTTCTTATGGATTTTGGTTCTTAGTCAAATCTTCTCATATTTTGGGAAATTGTAGTTCCAGGTGTCCTGATTAAAAGTGTCAGTGGGCGCGATCTCCTAAAATTGATAGTTTTCGAGATATAACTGTTCAAACTTGGTTAATTTCTATTTCAGATATTGGATGATATAAACAATCTCGATCCCACATGATCCACAAACTTGAAAAAAATACCTAGATGAACCTTATAACCTGCGAAATAAAGCTGCCATAATTTCGTTTTGCTTCGCGATCTCAATTATGGCTAAAAATGATAATAAAGAAATTAATGATAAAAATAATAAGTAAAATAATGATAAGTATTATCATCGATAGAGGATTTTTCCAATGACCATTGGACCGATCCGAGTTCAACAGTAGCACGTTCCACACGATTCTTCCCACTGCTACTCTGGGTAATGCTAAAAGTCAGAAAATGTTTGCACACTAACTTTATTCACATGACATTACTCATTGTTTATTTATAACCACAATTGAGATCGCGAAGCGAAATGCATCTATGATAGCCTTATTTCGTATGTTTATTTAGGTATTTTTTTCAAGTCTGTAGGATCGTGTGGGACCAAGATTGTTTGTATCACCCAATATCCGAAATAGAAATTAACCAAGTTTGAACAGTTGTATCTCGAAAACTGTTAATTTTAGGAGGTCGCGACCTTTTAATCAGGACACCTGGAATTGCAATTTCCCAAAATATGACAAGATTTGATCGAGAACCAAAATCAATAACAAACGTGCGGGGTCCTTTGTCTTTTTTAGAAAAAGATAGAAAAAGGCACTAAGGGTACACACTCTTATTTAAAAAGTTAAAAAGTAAAATCAATACTAGAACTTAAATGTCTATAATGGTCAAACCTGGATGTTTAATGTTTAAACAATTCAATGCGAATTGTACTATATATATATATACATATATATATATATATATATATGAGCATACATGCATATACAGGGTGTCCCAAAAAGATCGGGACACCTGTGTTAGGCTCGAGAGCCTTCGATCTCCCGACACAGTGACAAAGATATTTATTTATTAGCCGGTTCGTGACGGTACAGTGGGATCGCCTCGCGTCCTCGCTCGTTGCTCTCCGCGCTTGAACTAACTGCGTGATCACGCACGCGAATTGGGGAGCTAGCAGATCCACATCGATTTCCGATAACGCTATTGGTCGCCGCGATCAGCATAGAAACAAGCGGCGCATGCGGAGCAAGGCAACAATAATTCATTACAGTTTTTTATACTTATTTTTCGACATTCGCACGCGGAAATACACAAATGCGGATTTCGACGTCAAGATCGCTCGAAAGTCGAAACAATATACAATGTATCGCACGATCTAGAGTCTCACACAGCAATAATCTAAAGTAATTCTGAATAACCTGAATATCTCGGAAAATATAAGTTTTACAGAAAAGTATTTCAGACAAAAGTTGTATGGTTCAAAAAGATCTATTTACTGATCTTATTAGTTTGACCTTGAATGACGTCACCAAGGTCAGGTCTAGGTTACATCGATTTTTTAAAATGGAACACCCTACTTTTGATTCCAGAGTCTAATAGCTGCTATCAAGAGCTTTTCAAAACTATAATAAAGTTATTTTTCATAAAGTACTTTTTCGAATTATAAGGCTTAACACTTACAATACCGCCGGCATTAGCATTACGCGAAGTATCTGATCGACGGCTAAAACCTCTTGAATGTTGTTCAGGATCGTGTCCTGAATAACATTTGTTAAGATCAAGGTCACTAGAGATAATTTCTCTTATTTTCATTTTTACATAAAAATAAATTTTCAGTGCAAAAATGAAAATAAGAGAAACAATCTTCAATTTTAATTTTAGGTTTATTGTTCCTTTAAGATTCGTAATACACGTTTGATCGCGTTCTAATGCGCTTTCCCGGGTTTTTCCGCAAACAAACCTAATGTTGATATTGCCAAACCTATTAGGTGTTAAACTTAATTCCTGCCGTTTTTCGTCTCCAAAATTGATTTGTTTCGAAGGGAAGATGAATGAATACCTTAATCAAAGTAATTTCCTCCATTTTCTACTTTATTACTAATTAATAATACTTTATTAATAATACTTTGATTAAGGTATTTCCCTTCGAAACAAATCAATTTTGGAGATGAAAAACGGCAGGAATTAAGTTTAACACCTAATAAATCGGGTGGCGTGACTTGATACGCGTACATTAGAATTCCTAATGCTTCTTTATACGGAAAGTTTTCAACCGCATTTGATTCGACTTTTTCACTCGATTCCACATTCTTATTAAGCGGTTGATTGATGTCCAGTGGCGTTTTCACAGGTTTGCAGTCTTCCATGTTGAATTTCCTTAAAATTTTTTCAATGTAGTCCTTCTGATTTAGCGTTATTTGAAATCACAAATATAACCTACAATCAGGCTAATAAGAGTCAACGCGAGCGGAGGTGCGTAATAATTTCTCAATAAAATAAATTTATTAATCCATGTGATATGTTGGAATCAACTTTATTCGAATTCTTGATCGTTTCGATTCTCTTTGGAATCTTCACCAGCAATCATCTCACAACTATATTAGATTTCGCGAACATTCGATATAGTCATTCGCAGGTTACCAGAACTGTAGTGTTATCTGTTTAATTTATATATATAAGATATTGAATTTTTACAGTAATTTAATCGAGTAACTTACCTATTCGATCGCTAAATCTCATCTTGAAACTTTGGATAGTATGTTAATATTACAGCAAATCGTTACATAATTAAAATAAGATTATCTGATCTTCTTCTGTGTATCCGGAATGTCGAGTATGTATAACGGAAAAATATTAATTTTGACAAAGGTCAAATACGTGGACTTTATCATAATAAATATAAAGTACAAGATAGTAAAAATCGCATTGTGTTACAGATATTAGTATGTGACGTATACAATATTTGTCATAGATATTATAAATGTAAGAACAGAAAAATGTTATAAGTTAAAAGCCTAATACAATTGTCACATTGAAATTATAAAATGCAATCTGATTATTAACAATGATTAATTAATGAACTAATTTATTTTGAATTCAATATAATGAAATACACATTCAAAGTCGTTACTGACTCCCCTATCAATTAGTTAAAAATATAATTAAAACAACATTAAAAGTAGTCATGTCTAATAAACTGTGTGATATTTTCATAAAAAATTCTCTCTAAGTGTCATCTAAATCTTGTGCTTGATTCATGAAGTAATATCGTTCAGTCTTTATAATAAACTATGTCAATTCATTTAACATAGATGCATAAGCATGATGTAGTCCCTCTGTGTCAGACCTTAAATTAAGTCCATTTTTTTTGCATATGTATGTGTATGTATGTGTATTTTCTATGAAATTAGTCGTTTGTTTAATATTCTTTTTGTGTCCATTATTTTGACATTCTCCCAATCAAATTCGTCATTAAATTCCAATCTGTGATCTGTGATGACAGACTGTTTATCAGTGTTCCAATTTATATGATTGCGGTATTCTGCAATCCTTGTGCTTAATTTTCTACATGTTTGGCCTACATAAGTTGCATCTTTACATTCAATTTTGTAAACCTCGTTTTTGTTTGAATTCTTTGGGAGAACGTCTTTTTGTATTTTTATGAATTTATTCAGTTTATTACTGCAAACGCTTTCAAGTTCTTATTTCTGCAAATCGTTATAAATTCCTCCGCGTTTGTTGAGTTATATGGAACTCAAAAATCACGGAGTCCTTTCCAAACTAACCTCGTCATTAGAACTATTCATTTCAGTCATTAAATGGTTGTTCCAGAGAACAAGTATTTCAATTTATTATTAATTGTTTTGAAAATAAAATCTGTAGCATAATCATTTTTTAATAGAGTGTTTATTATGAACTGAATGTGTTTTGTATGGTATTTCGGATCTGATAAAAGTATCGCTCTGTCAGTCATTCCCATCACTATA